GGAGCCAAGATGACGAACAGGGGCTACAGCAGTCGCCGCGCAGCCTCGAGCTCAATGGCAACCGAGGAGTCATGGAGCATTCCAACGGAGGACCCAGAGATGATCCCGGACGAGACAGCGTCCAGAACCCTCCGAGAGCAGCCGGATTCGCGACCTCGAGGAGCAGGTGCGCCAGCTACAGGAAGCCATGAAGACCAAGAGCACGCCAGCGCCCTCCGAGGACAAGATCAGGAAGACCACCGGGCCTCCCGGCAAGTAGACCCACCAGAGTGGGTCGACAGTGATTTCGAGCATCGTGATGACATCTGTGAACTAGAAGGGGAGTTTGTGCACCCTGGTGAGTTGCGCCGGCTGTCTTTCGGAACCGCCAAGCAGATCAGTAAGGATTATGAGGAAGCTCTTCTTAGTACCGTTAAGGCCTTAGGATCTTCTCATGTGGTTTTGTTGGAAGTTGGGGGTCCTGAGGATAGTGTTTTGGGAAAAGAGGTTGAAAAGATTTGCGGTTCCGGAGCAGTCGTTCGTCTTTCCTTCTGGAACGGTGGAGATTTGGGTCCTTTAGAGGGACGCAAGTATATTCGTAGGACTGTTGAGGAAGTTTGTCCTCGGTTTGTTTGGATTTATGGGGACAGTAGTGCGTATTCTCCTGTGAACAAGATGAATCAAAGAACCCCTCAACAGGTCCTGAGTCTTCAAGCCAAGAAGGAATCTGCGAGCAGAAGCTATGAAGGTGTTGTTGACATTCTCCGGGCATCTCGTTCAACAGGCGCAACATGTGTGCTTGAGATGGCTGACGCTTGTGAGGCATGGGACCAGTCCTGGTATGTAGATGTGGAAAAGGAGTGTTTGTTGTACAAGGGCATATGTCAGGGTTGTCAAGTGAATAGACGGGACTTTCAAGGGAGTTTGTTGTGTCGGGGCTGGGGTCTGGCAAGCAGCGACGGAGCCCTCATCCAGCATATGAGCTTGATGTGTGATGGAAGACACAGCAAAAGTAGGAACCCTATGTATGCTAGTCGTCACTCTCCTGAGTATCCTAGAGAGTTTGCTCGACGAGTCGCTAGATACTTTGAGAGGTGTGAGAGTTGGTTTGAGACAGCACGCCAGTTGCAGACGCCGGCAGAAACGTGTCTTGTCACCAGTGGTGCCGAG